TATGGCATGGTGCAGAATTAGATGAAGAAGAAGCACTATTTTGTTTTTTTGTTTTTCTATATTATTTTTTGTTTTTACTTTTTTTAATTATTTAGGTGGTGGTGGTGATGAGGAAGAAACACTATATTTTTTTTTTCTATATTAGAATTTTTCTTATTTTTTAATATTTTAATTCTCTTTTTAATTATTTTGGATTTGGTGTTGGTGGTGGAAGAAACACCATTTTATTTTATTTTTCTATATTTTTTTCCCTTTTTTATACTTTTAATTTTAAATTTTATTTCAATCATTTTTGTGATGGTGGTGGTGGAGGAGAAGGATGATAGGGGATTGGCATAAGTATAGGTGGATTAATCAAGAAGATAAAATATTTTCCTTTTATTTGAATATTTTATATTCTTTTACGTGAGACATATTTGTATTTTTAAAAACTTGGAACTCAAGATTCATTTTTTTTTATATTATATATTTCTTTTCTATTTATTCATTTAAAGAGGAAGGTAAATTATTCATTTTATAATATTTTAATGAAGAAAATTGACGGTAATAACTTTTTGTGTAAAGAAAAATTGATCTGAGTACCCAAATGTCAGAGTTGAAATGATACTTACACTACACAAAAAATTTGTAAACTGCACTCCAATTAATTTTTGTGAAGTTTTACAAATTTTGCTCATTTTAGCATTTACGTTCTTAATTTTTTTCGTAGCATTTTTATCATTATTCTTATATTAATTAGAATATCTTATATGTTTGAAGAAAGAAATTAAAAAACTTATTTGTCTATCATATTTTAAATAAGTAAAGTAAACAATGAATACAAAAGTTTGACAAAATATGTTCGCCCCGCTAATTGAATAATTGGGAAAAAAATCGTCATCTGAAATTGTTGAAAAAATAAAATTCAATTACTTTGTGCATTGACAAAAATACAAAAAGTCCGCTGGAATAATAAATAAAGATGTTTTAGAAATTGCCCTTATAGTGTTGTTTGCAAAAATTTCTTTTGCTTGGATCTTCTCCATTCTTATCCTTTAACCTTCTCCAATGTTCTTCAAAAACTCAAAATATAGAATTTAACCTCAATATCAGTGTCTATTTAAAATATGGAGTCTTCTTTAAATTTTGATACTTGTACACCGGGGTTGATCGACCTCTTACAACAGGTAGGCCACGAAGAAAAAAAATCGTAGGCTCCCTGTTGTGAGGGAATCGGTACACCGGAATGTCAATTTCGATGTACGAGTAGCAAGATCTGTCTTCTTTTTAGTTATAGTTTAAATCCATGACACATGCGTGACAACACATGAGAAACGTCTTTGTTCATTTAATTTTTTACATTAAAGTCAATGATAAGTTATAACCCTTAATTTATTTCTATTCTTATTTTGAAGCCATGAAGGGATCTAAATAAACACATTTATACTAAGTTCCAATAAATTAGTGTTGACACAATCAATTCTTGATCGATCGAGATAATTTATTAATCATTTTGTATTTTACTAGAAAAACAAAATTACCCTATCAGTCTAATTGAATATACTAAAATTATACATAAATAAAATTTATATTTTTTGACTCACTGTTTTTATATATTATCCTGTAGATCACATCGAATATTCGAAACAAGGTGAAATAATCAAAATATCATTTTAAAATATAATATAAATCTTCAAATCCCATTTTCTATCTGAAGTCCCACGTGATCACATTACAATATTAATTCAACAATCAATATTGAATTACTGAGCTTAGAACAATTGTCCACTAGAAAATCTTTGAGATCATGATAGTGTCTATTAAAGGCCTATTTGGGTCCGATTTTTTCACCCAAAAAATTAATTTTTTGACCGTTATTTCACTATTCCAACCGTTATATTTGACTTCTTCTCTTACAGGTGGACCCCACTTTTCTCCTAACGATCAAAAAATTAATTCTCAAAATCACTTCCAAACAGGCTCTAAATATGTTACAATTTCATATCACTTATATGCGTCCCCATTTTTCCTATTCAATTCTCAAAACACTGAAATATTGACCAATGATTATATCTCACACACTTATACATCAAAGAACTTTCAAATTAGTAATCCTAGTCTTATTACTTACTCGGGATTAATGTCCTATTTACAACAGCCACATGAAATTAAATTCATGTGATCAATTTCACAAATTAAATTTCAGATAGCTCAATCTAGTACATTCCAAAATTTATATTCAATCTTATTACCAAGTCAAAGATGAGATTTAATAAAATTGAGATAGTCTTATAAAAATAAAGTGTTCATCTTCTCTTTTCTTTTTTAAGATCATGGACAACAAAACTTAGATCGAATTACAAATTGAATCTTTCCGTGTTTAGCAACTTAAGGACTCAATTTATAAAATCAAATCGACCCATGAACAAATATAAATTCAAATTAATACAAATAATTTATCGAAAAATAAATTAATAATTTATTTTAAAATTTCCCTAGTAAAATAAATTTACTCTATGGACAAACACTATCTAATAGAAACAAAATGTTCTATTAGTTAAAGTTTTAAAATAGATACAAAATTCACTTATAAGTAAAATTTTCATATAAAATAAAAAAAAGTAACTAAGTAAAATTCATTTAGAGTTAAAAAAATTTACCTGTAAGTTAAATATTTTAGTCATAGTAAAAAATAAAAAATAAAAAATAATTTTAACTAAAAATTTCAATAATTAGTTTTAATTTCAATTTGCAATTTAAAAAGTCATGTAAACTATTACTCATAAGTAAAATTTCACTTATGAGTAAGAAAAAATAACTTATTATAAAATAAAAAAAAAATTCACTTAATGAATATAAAATAATAATATTTTAATTTTTCATTATTTGTACGATCTTCTAATATGATGTACCACCAAAAGGCATATGAGAATAACTCTCCCTAATTCACATTAACAATAATGCTAGTCGTACATGGTTGTGTTTCGCGCGGGTTAACTCGCTAACAATTAAAGAGGATCAGACGATTGTGTAAGGGACGAAACCTCTTGGGACAAAGTCCCAAAAATGGGTGTTCTTTTATTGGCGATGAACTTTACAATTGGAAACGAAAAACAACGTGCCTCCAAGGGGCGCAAGCACACGAGTTACAGAAAGGAAAGTGTTTAAATCTAAAAGTTAAAGAAATGAAAATTACATATTCTCTGTTCGAGAGTTTTTGATTCGATCCTTGCTTCTACGTCTTTTCTCCCTTTTATACCTCATAGACGATCTCTTTGTGATTAACTACTCTGAAAACTGCTTGATCGTCTTATAACTACCCACTTTCTTTGTAGTGGCCATTTTGTCATGAAACCGCCTTTTAACTGCTGCCATTATCTTTCATCGTTCAACTGCCTTCGATTGAATTCCTTGAGTTGTGGAACGTGATAAGGCTACTTTAACAACTGCCTTGATAACTGCATTCCTTGATAACTACGATGCGTTATGTTTGTTGACACCTTGGGCGACTTGAAGGTTTGGGCGAGAGCAGAATAACAGCTCTGGGCGACCATATGACACCCATTCGTTCAGATTCTGAGCGACTTGCAAACTTGGGCGATGGCGTTACCGCATTCTTGGGCCCCTTGTTTGGGCCTTCACCTTGAGACTTCATTCTTTGGGCCTTCACCTTGACTCGTTCGGTTGGACTTCATTCTTTGGGCCATCCGTTTTTGGGGATTCTCCAATTGGGCTTTACTCCTTGGGCTGTTCGACTTGGGCTGAATTTTTATGTGTCAACAGGTTGTCAACCATGTTTTGACACCATTGATATAAAAAACAGCTTTTAACAATTTTTAAAATGAACGGATGTAATGGTGCCAAATGTGTAGTTGTAAAACAATGTTGTCAACAAAAGTTGTACATTTTACATAATTCTTCACACAATTTTGCTAGTGGTACATCGGGGTGTACCTAATGGTGTACACCCCACTCACATAGGCGGGAGATCTACTCGAATAAAATATCATTTCTTTCACATTGGTCCCACATCCATGTGAGTGGAGTGTACACCATTCGGTACACCCCATTATGTACCACTAGACAAATTCTTCTTCACATTAATCCCTCTAATTCAATATAGTGTACCCAAGGCCGGTCCTAAAATTTTTGGGGGCTATAGACCAATTTCAATGATGATAATAATAATAATAATAATAATAATAATAATAATAAATTTTTTTTTTTGGGCCTCACCGAAGTGAGGGTCTTATACGATCGCCTACTTTGCCTATAGTCAGAACCGGCATTGAGTGTACCAAAACATGTCCATAGAGACAATTTGAAAGTTCGCACTTCAAGTACTTCCAAGTTAAAATTCGTAATCAAGTTATAAGTACTTGTATCCGTACAACTGCACAGTACACAAGCAACTACCAATAGTCGAAAAAGATTCACAAATCACAATCCAAATGAACGACTCTATTGATGACTAAAAAATAACGTGCCAATTTTAGATCACTGTAATGGAATTATGATAAGAGTCAGTTGGAATTTACGTAAAATGAATTGTTAATGGTCTTGGTTGAAATTTGTGGTACATTGGAGTGGAGGAACGCCTTGAGCCTGCCTTTGGAGGGACCATTTACCCCCATTTATGGGTCTCAACTCTTCTTTGGGACAATTAAGATTCCTTACAAGCTTCCACCCATGACTTTAGAGTGAGCATATTGACTGGCAAACTAGGATGCCAACAGACTCAAATTATTTGAAATTTACAGGCTTATAGTTGAATTGGACATGCAAAATATTCCCTCTCATACAAGCCTTCAAGAATTTCATAACCATCTTCACCTTCTTAATCAAGGGCAACATCTGTGTTTGTGCTAATCTAGGATTATGACTGTGATTACTATTTGTAGTAAGAGATTAGGGATCCTAATCTAGGTATTATTTCAAAATTAATGATAGACTGATATGAATCTAATTGAAGTTAATATAATTATGCTATTCAACAAAAAAAATTACACAATATCCCATGATTCTGACTAATTTTGAGACGGATTCAGCTTCAATGAGAAAATAAATTACTCAGTACATCGAATACTTCATATGCAACAAAATCTTCAAACAGGCAACGATTAGAATTTATTTCGAAAATGAATCTAATTTGGTTTCTTTGAACAAAAAATAACATCATTCCTTTGGATAACTAAAGAGAAGAGAAAATTGGGACACCTGGTAAAGTGGCTCCAGCGTCAGCAATGAAGACATTGCCCGTGACATACTCAGAGGAATCATGGATTAAGTATCGCACAAGTGATGTCAACGCAGGATCAGATGTCCCAAAAGTTCTTAAAGGGACGGTTTTCAAGGCAACATTTTTTAGCCAATCTTTTTGCATGAGTCCTTGCGTTATCTCGGAGTTGAATAGCCCAGGAGATATTGAGTTCACTCTTATTTTGAATTCTCCCAATTCCATGGCCATAACCTATATGTTATGTGGAAGTGAAGAAAAATAAAACTAGAGCCACTTATAAAACATAAGAAGTTGCTGGAAAGCTTAAAATGCAGAAGCTAGCAAATTGGCAGCAGGAAAACATCGACACTTATTAACACGATTATGAAAAATTGAAACTGGCTACAGCTGACAGAATCTATGTAACAAAGCCACCAGATAGTACTATCTCTAACAGGTATTATGCAGTAGGCTACAGAGAAGAATCCATCAAGGATTACGCTGAATCGTCAATGATGCTCATTTAATTTTTGATTCCACAACCATAGGCGTATATTTCCACATGCTCTGAATAAAGCTCTCTATGTACTGAATAGACACTCAAGTCTTTGAGAATTGTTCTTGTCCAAGAGATGGTCGTCAAGCATTATGCCGCATAGCTTATATTTTGCAACTAATGTGGGCAGATTTTAGAAAAACGAAAACTGAAAGCTGAATTTAAAGGCAACTGATGTGTGCTATATCAACAAATTTTTGAGTAAGTTATTTTTTTTGTCTCTTACTAGCTCCGCGAGGATGCACAAAAGACCATGGAATCTCATATAATATGAATACATTGATGACATATAAGAATATGAATATCAACCAATGCAAAGAGAAAAATCACATTAGCAAAACTATATTCAAAACAAATTCATATGAGATGCATTAACCAATTTGAGGCCAATAGAAGAGAAATGGCATTTCAATATTTTTTATTCTGAGTGCCTATTTTAATGGTGGAGTGAGGGAGATTTTGCTGAAGTTAACAGCTTGATGAAGATGTGAAGCCATATCTCAGCAGTTGATACAGATTTTCTATTGTACATGATGTCTTAAACCAGTGCACCGTGGTCAATTCCAGGCACAGACAGAACAATATTGTATAGGAAATAAAATAAAACTTGCTACCTTTGTCAGGGTGTTAACACCGATCTTTGAAGCAGAATAAGCAAGGGCTCCCGGTAGTTGCCCACGGTGAAGACCAGCAATGGAGGAGATATTAATGACAGATCCTCCCAGTTTCGTATCACGCATTCGCATGCAAACATACTTCGATACCAGCCAGTTCCCCTTCAGGTTTGTTTTCATGATGTTGTCCCATTCCTCCTCAGACAAGTCCAGTGGCGTGTGCACAGGACCTATGGTATAACACTCGGATGTTAGAGGTACAAGAACCCATACTGAAGTTTAGTCAATATAGTGACTTAACTAATTAACTGGATCGGAATAGATATATACAGCCTCAATTTCATTATTCACATAAATGTAAAGGGCTAGAAACTTATTAGATAATCAAAAATTAGCCTGTTGATGGGTGCAAACATGGAAATATTATGAGCCAACCAAGTATAAGTACGAGGACTGGATTGTTCATCTTTTAGACAGGAAAAGTTCAATACCGACACTTGCTCAGCACCAATGAATGCAGTTCAACAAATTCCAAGAATATTTAATCAGAAAGAATTACAGAATTTCTCATCCAGACACTCCAAAATGTTTCAAGCAATCATAATACTATTGAAAATATTATTAACAAAACTTATGTACATTGAGTACGTGACATGTGCAAGTATTCACGGATGTCTTCGCTGATAAATGTATTTACCAGGACAAAAAATAGAGAGAACTACAGCTGGGAGCCAACATGTGCAAAATATAGCACTTTGGTCCCATTGAAAATTTCAAAGCCTTTAAAACCCCTTTATGAAATCAAGCACTTAATCCTCATGGGGTAGAACCGTTGCTTTTTTCAGTACAAGTAGCACACCTTGCACATGAGCTCTTTTTGGAGGATACTTGCATCTATACATCTAGTGGGGAATTATTTGCCTAATTTCATTAAGGTTGAGGAGGTAAAAGACTTCAAGAAACTGAATGGGAACTCAAGGAAAAATAGATAGCTAATTTTCTCAAAAACAATAGGAATGCATGTACTTACGTGAAAACGATAGCATTTTAATGGCTCAATTACTTATATTTACTCATAAAAAGGTACAGAAAACAGAGAATCCAAAAAAATAAAAATAAAATACTATGTAATTCAATTGTCTACATATGTCGGTCCATTAATAATTAATTTTATGCCGTAAGTGTTATGCTCTAACTCCAATCTATTTTGATTGTAAATACTTTTAATATGTTTAATGCATTTATTTAGGCAAGATCTACTATTTATTTTAGTTATATCGTAATAGATTATATCAAATAATAGAATCCGTAAGTCTTAGTGATTTGTTAAGCGTAAAGAGTTGTGATTGTAAAATATAAATTAAAATATGATTGAATTATAAATCATTCAAGGTCGTAAGTAATAACAAGATACGAATAGACCATCACGAGTGGTATTTCCCACTTGTGAAGTAAGTAGCTGATCTTGAAAACAAAAGTATACTGACACATAAATGAACACGTGAATGTTTTGTAATGGAACAAATTATTGGAGAACCGTTGGGGAGATTCCACATGAATAATTATCTGAGTGTCAGCGGTTAATCTCTAACGTTCGATAGTGAAATTAGTCATTTGACTTAAGATCATCATAGTGTCTTATATGAAGACAATCATACTTTAGTGATGTTGGATGTTGCTCTACCAACTGCCGCTAATACGGCATCGTTCGGATATGTCAAGAATTATTTGAAGATTGTGAATAATCAATATAGGATTTATCACTCTTAGATAGTAAGAGGTTATAATTTATATTCCATTCAAATAAGTTGATAACAAAATCCTTGATTAAGTTGTACTCATAAGTTAAAAAAGAGTTTTCGATTTACATTGACTTAATAGTGGGATGAAAGATAAGATTGGTAATTGAGATCGATACATATCCATATCTCGTATTTTATTGGATCATATTGACGAAATGATTATAATTTCACAGTAAAAGAACAAGTTTTGTTTCGTCATACCAAGTGAAAATTTTCGTCATATGTATTACTCTAACATATTGCTAGATGTCAATATAGGACATGAATGAGATTTGGTGATAAATTAAAAATAGTTATTTTAATTTATCGATTTTGATTAGATCAAAATAATAATTCACTTTATTAGACATCGTGATCGGAACCCAATGGGTCACACACAAAAGGAAGAATTAATTAATTGGGTTGTTTATTAGTAGGCTCGAATTATTCAATTAATTTGATTAATTAATTCATGAACCAAATTTAATTAATTGGATTAATTAAATAATGGACCAATTTAAGTTTAAAAGATGGGTCAAACCCACTTGGACTTACATTAATAGGCTTCTAGAATTTGAAAATTCAGTAAAGAATACAATTTATATTCTTGCTTGCACAAGAAAAGAAAATCCTAGTTCTTTCAATCTTGTTCCTAGATTTTCACTGGAGGTTAGACAATTACAAAGCCTTGAATTATAGATCAGAAGTGTTATTCAACAAATTCATCAAACTTATAATTATTTATCACAGTTTCTCTCTAATCACAATGATGATCCTTGCTGAAAACTGAAAATTTTGTTTAATTTCCACTTTGCATGTTAAGTAAACTCCCAACATATGCACGGTGGAATTTTCCACATGAGCAAAGAAATAAAATATGTAATTCACCGAGAAAAGTTAGCATATATTCAAAACAATTCACAGTTATGCACCGTGGAATTTTCCACATGAGCAAAGCAATAAAATATGTAATTCACCGAGAAAAGTTAGCATATCTTCAAAACAATTCACAGTCTGCAAAATAGTATCAAACTAGTAATCGCATAGAAACCTACAAAAAGTGGAATCAATGTTCATTTTTTGTTTTTTGTTTTTATTTTTTTTTATTTTTTTGGGGGTAGCGGTTGGTTTTACCTCTAATACCGGCATTATTGACCAAAGCATCGATTCTTCCGAACGAATCCCAAGCCTTTTGCACAGAAGCCTCAATGGTTGGTCCAGCGGCGCTGACGTCCAGTTCCACAGCCACAGCTCTGGCTTGACCGTGGCTCGCATCATTCGATCTGGAGGAAGTAATACCGTCATTGATCTCATCGCAGAGCGATTTCAGGCGGTCGATTCGCCTGGCGGCGGCTATAATTTTGCATCCGGCTTTGGCTAAGTCCAAACAGAACTCCCGACCCAGACCCGACGACGCGCCAGTCACCATCACGACCTTGTTTTTCAATTCCTGCCATGGCTCCAAGATCTCCATTCACGTGTAGTGATATTCTCGTGCACTCGTGCCGTAAGGTTTAACGTTTAAACTTTTTATAGTTGAGATGACAGAGAAATTTCCAGTGCATTTTTTAATTTGACAATAATGGCTTTGTTTGAGATAATCTTGAAAAAGTCAAAACAACTGACTTTGACTCATTTGGTCCTCAAAAATACATTTGCTTCGTGATACGAGAATGGGGTGGCATACCACCGCTTTATGAAAGTTCACACATCAATATAATATTCTTAAAGCATATTAAAAAAAATTGAACCCCAACTTTGAGGATCTTCATCGCTCCACTTCGTCTCACCCCATCCCTGAAATATCATGGGGGAGGTAAATCGTGGGATGTGCCCCAATAGATTAGGAAACAAGATTTTGTCCGTACATTGGTATCCATAAAGAGCCAAATTTCATATATCAGGAATCGAACCCTCACACTGTGACTGTCAGTAAGGTTGAGACTATCTCACTCCTGTCATTTGCACCACTAAATTATACCCAGGGGCAATATTGTTAAAGCGTATTCTACATACTTTTAAAGAGGTCTTATTACATTATTCATAGCATTTATATAATTATACAAAGTATATATAAATTTGGAGAGTAAAAAATTATCAATAGAGCTAGAGCACCCGTATGTGACTACACTTTATATATTTAATTAAGTTTATGTTTAATGGCCATTATTTGGGAGAAATAATATTTTAAATAATAACTTTTAAGAAAATGTGCATTTAAAAAGTAGGAAAAATTTGGATTTAAGTGCAGAATATTTATTAAGTAGATGTGGATTGAAAATGAGTATTAGGAAAAAAAAAGTTTTCGAATAATGTTGTCAAACAAGGGCTAAATGAATTATTTGACTTTGAATTTACATAAATTTATCATTTAATTTCATGTAATTGTCATAACACTAGTGGTGATGAATAGTGTCACTTACATTTTTATGCACTCCAATAATACTCACTATTTTGGTGCTCATATTTTATATAACATGATTTTTTATATGTCAATGACAAATCAATTTGAATGTATTTTGAATAATTTAATAAGTAGTATATTGAAATCTATGACTTATTGTAATCATTGTAAATTAAGGATAGAGGTGATTTTGGCTCTCTAATTTGAAGAGCTAGACTCACTCACTATTTTTAAAAATTAAAATAAAGAATCTCTTAGAGCTTATTTTTATTATTGACTATTTAAAATAGAGAGCATTTAGAATTTAGAGTCTCATGAAGATGCTTTTAATAATAATCTAAATATAAATTTAAGTAATAATTACATGATATTAAATGGTAAATTCATTTAAATGCAACGTCACATAATCAATTTAATTAGGAAAAATGTTATATGCAGTCGCTCATTAAGGCAGGCGTCCTAGATAACATATACTTGGTAGGTGATTATTTGATGTTTGAATTAATAAAAAATTATCATATTAATGTGTTAAATAATCATCTACCTTGTGTATACTACTTAGGGTGATCGTTTTAATAAGCGACTACGGATAGCGTTATTCTTTAATTAGACCGAATAAAGCTGAATATTTAGACTAATATTCTAACATTATTGTCGCTAAATAACATAATTTTTATACTCTTGAATCGAGTGCATAATCGATAATATTGAAGAAACACCTATGTGTATATAACTTCACACATCTAAAAAATATAATCATTATTCTTATACTCTCGACTCGAATTCATAATTGATAATCCTGAAGAAACACTAATGTGTACATAACTTCACAAGTCATAAAATATAATCAGGAGAGAGGGAAAAAAATAAAAATAATATATNATTTCATTTACAGATCGGCTACCCACTCTCTGTTAGGAACTTCGGTTTAAACGGCAATTAATGCAGCGGACCTGCTTGCATGGGCTGAGCTGGTGGCATTTATTTGCCGCAACATTCGCCATTCAAAAATATTTTTAAAGTTTTGTAATTAAAATAGAGTACGGAGTAAGCAGTGTGGAGGACATTCTGTGTCTATCCAACTCGTTCTTGTCCAGTAATATACCGCTTTTCAGATGCAAATAGATCTCTTTAGAAAAGAACTCTTAAAAGTAAATCCAATTTTCTTATTTCGATCAAGAAAAGTAGAAGTATATGAATCGAGTGAAACTAAAAAAAGAAAGAGATCTCATAATCGCAACTTCGAATATGGAATTCAAAGGGATCAAATAGGAAATGATACTCTAAATCATAGAACTATAATGAAATATACGATCAACGAACATTTATCGAATTTGAAAAAAGGTTTCCAATTTCATTGGAGTCCAATGGAGTAGTGTATGATAGGAGTCATACTCTTTCAATCAAAGAATTATTTCAATGATTCCCATGTTTCTTTTTTCTTTACTATTGGAAAAGAGGAATCATCACATAAGAGTCTAAGCTTTGCCGTAGGTAACTTCTATTTTCTTTCTTTTTTGAATGTGTTATTTGCAATCTCTCTCTATCGTAGTCATCTTACGTGACATATATATATATAAAGGTTAATGATTTAATACATTAATGTGATAATTTTTTATTACCTTATATGACAAATCATCAATTGTGACATGTATGTTACGTAAAGCGATTGCGATAATGAGCGACTGCAATCAGCATTATTCATTAAAATAAGGTTGAAAAGTCAGGGTAGACAAAATATTTTGCAATTCTTTATGAGAATTTAAGTACTCGAATGCTCGAAGTTTAGATCATTCAACAAATAAAAAAAATATTTAAAGTCGCTTAACCTAACATGACAAGTGCTTCAGCCTTTATTAAATTATTGTGCAACAATATATATATATATATATATATATATATATATATA